GCTTTGGTCAGCTCTGTTCCTGGCAGTGAGTCCACAGAGAAGAGGCAATGGAGAACAAGAGAAAGCTGCACCTAGAGAAAAACTGTTTCTTTTTTTTCTTTTTAGTATAACAAAGACTTACTTCAGAGCAAGGAAATGGATTGAAAGGAAGGTGCAAGAAAAGAGCCAATGCACAGTGTCACGGAGAAATCTAGGTTTGGGGTTCAATTTTAGTTAATAGAAACTGAGCCCCAGCTGTATTGGAGTTTTAGGACAGCTGGTTGATCTTGGCCTGCAGTGCTTGGATGACTTTGAACTGAAGATTGTGTGAAAGCAGCTATGTGACTAGAGTGGTTAGGGAAGACTTCACTGAAAATGGAATTTGGATTAAATCTTAATAGGTAAGATTACTTACTTTAAGCAGAGCTGGTAGGATGGGCGTGGGGAAGATGAGCTCCCAAAAGAGACTGGGGGTGGGAAGGCTGCTGATGAGAGATGGTGAGCACCCCAAAGGAACAAACTAGGATACATGATCCTGTGAACCAACGTGTGTGCTGTACCAAGACACACAACCATGCCACACTGACAGGCCCGAGCCGCTCGCTGGCTGCACACTCTCTCAACACACATGAATCCTATAAGCTAATGCATTCTCCTCTCTCCTCCCACAGCAAACTTACGGCTCTTAGCTCCCCCTTCTTGGTGAACACACAGAGTAGAAACCTCAGCAGAGTCTTCATTCCTCCCTCACCCTCACCTTCTGTGGCAACCTGTCAATCTGCCTCTATGCACCCCTCCCCACCATCCCCATTGCTTCTAATCAGGCCCTCACGGTCTCTCATGTCAGCTCTCTGCCACCAGCCTGTCTCCTCTCTGCAACGGATTTTTCCACGCTGTCTCCAGAGGGATCTCAAGAGCACGTATTCAAACTTATCACTTAGTTAAGGAAATGATAGTACGTGAGATTAAGACTTACAAGAAAGCTACAGCAATCAAAACAGGATATGAATAGATAGATCCATAAAGCAGAATATAGTTCAGAAATACTCTACTGCTGAAGGGCATTTAGTATACAAAGATGGCTTTTCATATTGGTGGGGACAAGATGGATTACTGAATAAAGGTGTTAGGACTTCTAAGTGACATCTTAAAAAAAAAAGAAATAGATCTCTAAATCTTTCCTCATATCAACATTAAGAAAACAATTAGATTTTAGAGTATAATATATGAGCAATAAAGGTACTAGAAAATAAATTATCATTCAATAAACTGTGTTGGGAAAACTGGATAACCAGATGCAGAAGAATGAAATTGGACCCCTATTTTACATAACACATAAAAATTAGTTTGAAATGGAATAAAGATTTAAATGTAAGACCTGAAACTGTAAAACCCCCAGAAGAAAATACAGGGAAAAAGCTCTTTGACATTAGTCTTAGTAAAGATTTTTTTAATATGACACCAAAGGAACAAACAACAAAAGCAGAAATTAAGTGAGGCCACATCAAATTAAAAAGCTTCTGCACAGCCAAAGAAAAAATGAAAGGGCAACCTATGGAATGGGAGAAACTATTTACATTCTTATAAGAGGTTAATATCCAAAGTATATAAACTCAATACCAAAAAACAAACAAAAACAAACAAATAAAAAACCACCAAGCAATCTGATTAAAAAAATGGGCAGAGGACCAGAATAGAGATTTTTTCAAAGAAGACATACACATGGTCAACAGGTACATGAAGAGATCCTCAACATAACTAATGAATCATCCAGAAATGTAAATCAAAAACACAATGAGCCATCACTTCACACCTGTGAGAATGGCTGTCATCAAAGAGATAAATGTTGGTGAGCATGTGGAGAAAGGGGAACTCTTGTGCACTGTTGGTGGGAATGTAAATTGGTGCAGCCACTATAGAGAACATTTTGTACAGGGGTTCCTCAAAAAGTTGAAAATAGAACTATCGTATGATCCAGTAATCCCACTTCTGGGTATTTATCCAAAGGAAATGAGAACAAGATTTTGGAGAGATATCTGCACTCCCAGATTCACTGCAGTGTTTTTCACAATAGCCAAGATATGGAAACAACCTAAGTGTCTGCCCATGGATGAATGGATAAAGATATGAGATATATATATAAAGGAATATTATTCACCCACAAGACAGAAATAAATCCTGCCATTTGCAACAACATGGATGGAACTTGAGGGCATTATACTAAGTTAAAAAAAGTCAGACAGAAAAACGAATGCTCTATGATCTCTATTATATGTGGAATCTAAAAAAACTGAACTCAGAGTAGAATGGTAGTTTCTAAGGGCTGGGGATGGAGGAAATGGGGAGATGTTGGTCAAAAGGCACAAACTTTCAGTTATAAGAGGAGTAAGTTCTGGGGATCTGGTAAGCATGGTGATTATGATTACCAATATGATATTATATACATGAAAGTTGCCAAGAGAGTACATCTGAAATGTTCTCACCACAAAAAAGGAATGGTAATGATGTAATATGATGGAGGTGTTAGCTAATGCTATGGTGGTAATCATTTTGTAATATATAAATATATCCAATCAACAGTCAACATCCAATATAAAAGTATCCAAGTACATACTGTAAACTTACAAAGTGTTATATGTCAGTTATACCTCAATAAAGTTGAAAAATGAGCACTAGGAAAAAAAGTAGAAATTTAAAAAGCAATCTGAATGGAAAAGGCTTTCTAGGCATGACATAAAAGCCAGGGGCACACACACAAAAATTTGCCACACCCCCCAAAAATAATAAAAACTTTGTAAGATAAAAAACAAACAAACTTAAAACAGTAAAAAGACAACTGATAACTGGCAGAAAATACCTGCACCATATATGTTAACTGCCTTGATATATATAAAGGACCTACAAATCAACTTTAAAGAAACCAACAACCAATCCAACAGAAAAATGAGCAAGAGATATGGACAGTTAGTTCATAGCAGAGGTGGAACATACGACTTCATTCACACAGGCAAAGATGTTCAAATTCACTTCTAAAAAGAGAAGCACAAATTAATGTGATAGTGAAATGCTTTTTTCTATCTGAAAAGCAAAGATAAAAAAAAATCTGATAAATTGTATTGATGAGGGTGTGAGGAAATTCCGGCCAAGGCTGAGTGTGGGGTGTATATTAATCAAACCTCTATGGAGGGTAATATGGTAACATGGGTAATGACAAATATCCTTTGACTTGGCAGTTCCATTTCTATGAATTTCTCAGGTGAGTCAAGGATATTCATTTTGGCATTGTTGTTGATGGCAAAAGATTGGGAACAACTAAATGTCCATCAATAGGAAATTCATTAAATAAAAATGGTACATGTATCCAGTGAAATTCTATGTAGCTCTTAAAGAGAACAGGGGCACTTTCCTTGTGTGTTGTTACAGAACCAACTCCCACATGCATTATAAAGTGAAAAAAGCAAGATGTCTAGGGGAAGGGGAAGTGAGGGCTGGGTGCTACTTTCAGAGAAGAGAGGGACATTCACTTCGCATTTATCTTTGCAGCTGACCTCCAATCCTACTTTCCCTTCCTCTAGGACACAGGTCATTTCCCAGACCCCATTATGTGGAGGAATGGCCACATGACTGAATTGTAGCAATGAAACAGACTCAGCCTCCCATGTGACATCCAAAAGTTTTTTTCCTCCTCTGGTCGTCTGGAATGTTGCTGAGCCCCGTTCTGAAACTGGCTTTGAGAATCAGATGTTGACATCAGAGTCAAATAGAGAAGAGAACTTGGGTCCCTGAGTGCCTGCCTGGAGGGCAATGCCTAGGTGAGACTCAGTATGAGCGGAGATTTCACTGTGTTTAGTCAATGAATTTCGCAGCATGTCTCTTAAAGCGGTTAACTATTACCATATCCTTTTGATAAATTAGCTCTTCAAAGCAAAACCACACACACACCCTGCTGGATCCCACCATGGATTGTCACTTTTGCTTGGTACTTATACTGTGCTTTGGTCAACCTCTTCAGCCTCAGCTCTAGGGTCTGGCTCCTCAAACAGCAACGCAGACATGTGCTGCATAGATGTGCTCCTTTCCTCTGCTTTTCTCCTGTTAAAACACACTTTGCACAGCCCAAATCCTCTCACCAGGTTTCTTGCTTCCTCCTGGGCTTTTGCTGATATTTATCTGGTTGAAATGCACACATTTGACCCAGTATCTATCCTCCTTCCCAGTCAACATACTCTGATTGCTCCCTGTGTACCCAGTGCCCAGCTCTGGGATGTCTGTGGTAAAAAGATTTGCAAAATCCTCACTCCTACCCTGCCCTCCACATTCTCCACAGAATGGGAGACCAGTGATGCAAATCAAGCAATTCATCCTTCTGTTCTAAACTCCTCACCAATGCTTTCAAGACCCTACCTTCCCTGGCCCTGCCCACCCCTCTCACCTCACCTCCCAACACTCCACGCCTGGTTCACTGGGCGCCTTTCCTTCCCTTTCCCTACCATGTGCTGGGCTGTCCCATCTCAGGGCCTTTGCACTTGCTGTTTCCCTCCTCCTGGAAGGCTCTCCCTTAAATCTTTACAGTTCAGGTGGCACATGTCACTTCCTGACCACGGGATTTAAAGATAGTGTCCTCTGCCCCAATCCTATCTTCACCTTGTTCATCTCCTTCACGTCCTTTATCACACTGAAATTATCTCGTTTGGGTTTAAGATCGGTCTCTTCCATGAGAGTGTAAGCCCCCGGAAGCCAGGGCCAGGGTCGCTCTGGGTCAGGCCTGTTCATATTAGGGGTTCAACAAGTGCGCGCTAAATTGGCGAGGTCGGGCCATTCCGCACACGAGCGCGCCACGCTAGCCCAGTGGCGGGGCGCTGTGGCGGCACCGAGGGGATCCAGCCGCGCCCCTCTTCCGCTCCTCCCGACGCACCCAGCTCCCCTCTTAAGCAGCTCAGCCGAGGGCTTTGGCGAGGCGGCGGGCGGCGGGCACGCCCCCGCGCCTGCCCATTGGCGGCCACCGGAGGCGGGGACGTGGAGGGGGTAGAGGGGTGGGAGGAAGTTGCGGTGCAGTGACCCCGCCGGCCGTCGCCGTACGCTGTCCGTCCGCTCCCGCTGCAGCATGTTACGCGCAGCTGCGCTCGCTGCCGGCCTCCGGCCCCGCCTGGGCCGCCTTATGTCCGCCGCCACCACCCAGGCCGTGCCCGCCCCCAACCAGCAGCCCGAGGTCTTCTACAACCAGGTGAGGCCGCCCGCCCGCGCTTTGTTCTCTCCGGGGCACGAGAGGCCCGGGTGGGAAGGCTCTGGGCCTCTTGGGGCTTCAGTTTACCCAGGTGGGGCTCCAAAGATGGGCTGCGTTAGTCTTTACGCACGGCTTCCTGCGGGCATTCTGACCCCTTCACCGCCTGACAGCCCCTGTTCCATTTATCCAGCCCTGCCTCTGGCCGCTTGTTGGTCTTCGGCCGCCATCCGTTTCCCAGCGCCAGCTCTCGGGGGTTCTTCTCCCTCCGATCGTCCCTTGCTTTCGGTCCTTTTGGTCACCGCTGTGTCTGCGCGGTTCTCCGCTGGTCACCCACCCGAGGGCGTGTCCATCGAAGTCGTTCCTTTGCAGGAATTTGTCTTTTCCTTGGTCATCTCTTTTATCCCTTGACTCCGGCCCTCGTCCAAGTAAGTCCAAAAGGGAAAAAAGAGAAGGTGGGGTCCTTTTCAACTAAGGCTCAGCAATTCGCTATGGGGCCATTCGGCGTTCCGGCGGCTTCCACTGCTGGACACTGGGGAAGAGAGTCCTTTGCCTCCCAGCGCAATCCCCAAATGGTGTCTGAGCTTTCCGAGGAGCTGGTTTTCTTTGACCGAACCACTGAGGGGCTCTGCTTGGTAACACCGATCCCCAGTGGCCGACTTCTGGCTCAGGCAGACCTTTGGAATATTTTCTCTTTCGATCTTTGAGTTTTAGGTCAAGTGCCTGGAATTTACAGAGAAGGAAATTGGTTATGAAAGAGTTGATTTTGTGCAACAAGGGCAGTTGCTACCTTTCTCTGGGCTTCGGTTTCTTCTGTAAAGTGGGAAGAGGGTCACAGCGTGAGCACAGGCCTCATGTACTCAGTGGCCACTTAGAGAAAAACAGCTTCTGTTCTCTGTGCACATCCGGTGCACTTGACACCACTCTAAGCATTTATCTGTTTTGCTATTCAATCCTTACAACAGCCCAATGAGGTAGGTACTGTGATTTTCTCCATTTTAAAATGAGACGAAGAGACTGAGTTACAAAGAGGTTTAGTGAGTTGCCTAAAGACTGAAGTCAATGATAGAGTTGGGGTTTACATTTGGTAGCTGCTAACCGAAACATTCTGGGGTACTCTCGGTGTAACTCAGTAGGAATAAAGGGGTCACTGCTGACCTAGGATGTGGCAGAGCTAGTCCCCAGCTGACTACGTTCAACAGTGCACCTGCTTGTCTGGCCCAGAGCTTGGCTGCAAATCTTCACATGGGTGATGGGCAAAAGCCAGTCACTATGATTGTAAGGAATATTACAAACAGTCATTTGCACGGGAGTCAAAACAAAAGATAAAATAAAATGCCTTTTGTGTAACACAGGCCAAAAATCCAGCAGCTGTTGCTCTATTGGTATGCTGCTTAACGGGAGTTCATGCTTGTTAAGACTTGAGCAGCAAAAAGATGAAGCAGAAATATCCTCAAGGGAAAGGCAACAGCACAAGCCTCTGCGGCGACAGGATCTAATTAAGATCTTCCTCCTTTTTGCTACATGGAAGTGAGGTAATGGGGTCCAGCCGTGCACATAGATAGCACAGTAGATAAGGCCTAGTAGACAGCATGAGTCCTCTTCTCCAGACCTCCTCTCGGGATGAAAGGTGGAGGAGTGGAGTGAATTCTGGCTGCAGGCTTTTCTTTATCAGATTTTTTGAGCTCTTAAAAGTAATACTTGCTCACTGTATACAAATGCAGAGAGCAGTGTAAAACTTCCGGATTATCCAGTTTGTTGCACTCCCTCTAAGAGCACGGTTAACAGGTCTGTGATCTTGCAGACATTGACTCTGCATTTATGTGTATGTGTATGTGAGAGATGGAGGAGCTGTCTCATTTAACAATGTATCTGAATTATCTTTCTAAGTCATTGTATTCACACCTTATCTATTCTTCCCAAAGGTTGCCAAGCATTCCGCCAGGCTGGATCTGGCTCTCCCTAAAGCCCCTTGGGCTTTTGTCAGTGTTGCGATGTTCCAGGCCCTGCTGTCAAGAATGGCAAGGCCTAATTCTAAAATTTTGAATCTCTTAGTAGGTAGGTGCTGTAGGTGCAAACTAGATCTACACCTGGACATTTCCCTGGGGATTACTGGTTCCTTGAATTTCAACAAACCATTCTGGAATCTGGAGCTTCCCCAAAAGGAACTATTCCAACAGACTTTAAAGTTGTTTCTGCAGGTGCTGGGTTTTCTCACCTAAGGGCATTTGGGAGTTTTGGGCTCTTGGGGAAATGTTGCATTTCAAGCTTGTCCACTGTCACCTGGCCTGAGTGGGGGCGAATGGCAGGGGAGGCAGGAGAGCTAGCTTCTCCTTACCGCTGCTGTTTCTCCACCCAAAGGAGGTTCCAGTGGTATGGTTTGGTCCACCTTCCTGGGATTCTCTTGCTTCTGCTTGTGCTGGGTGGGGCTATAGGGTGGGGTAAACTTCTTTTGGGATTAGGAAGATTTCAGGACAAGGTATCTTTCCCTCACTTTCAAGCAGAGACCTGGAGGGGGAGCTGATGATGGCCCGGCTTCCTGAAGATCAACATTTCTCATTCTTGGAGGGTTTCGGGGACACACCTCTGTTAATGAAACTGATTTACATTTTTCATTTTTTTTTTCTTTCCTGATTTGGAGAATAATTAGGGTTTGGAAAGAACTCAAGGAAAACCCAAGGGTCTGTGGTTTCAGTAAAGTAATCCCTTTGGATGGGGCATGTCTAATACGTTCATCTTCAGCATCACAAATAATGAAGATGGGAATATTGCTTGACACTATTTCACATTCTGGACTTAGAGGCTGCCTGCCACTCCGGAGTGTCAACTTGGGCAGGTTCATTCATTCAACAGACATTTGCTGAGCACTCCTAGTTCCAATGAACAAAACAGACAAGAATTCCTGTCTGTGGGAGGCTTGTTTCCCGGAAGGTGGCGCTATGGAGAAAAATAGGACAGGGAAGAGGGGGATATGGAAGGTGGTAGAGTTACTTAACTAGGTACCTCAGGTGCCACATCTGTTAAGTAGGGTAGAAATCCCATCTACATCATAGGGTTGCTGTGAAGATGAAGTGGGGTCATCCTTGTACAGCCTTTAGCAAGTACCTGGCTCACGGCTACCAGAGCCTCCATTTTCACTGCAGCCTTAAGTAAAAGCTGGGTTAACGGTGGCGCTGCTGAGCCTCCAAGACAATGGTGATATAATTCCATTTGGTGGGTGTTGTTGTAGTTGTAATTTGTGTCCTGAGGGATGTAGGTTGTGGTAAAGCTGAATGGGAGTTTGGGGTACATTAAATTTGCATCTCTAAGCTTCTTGACCACAACACTCAGGAACTAAAGAGAGAACTGACTTAAGGGAATTAAGAAAGGATCTCCCTATATAGAATTTCCTGGTTACAATAGTATTACATTTTCAGCTTAAAAAGTCAAGCATTAAGATGTCTGTGAGGTATAAACTCACTAGGAATACACATAGACACACAGACGTTCACAGCCATCTAGTTTATATTGACAAACACCTAGGAAATAAGCCAGCTTGCCTTCCATGGGGAAAGAGATGAACAATATATGTTATAGTAATAAGAAAGAATAATTTTATGCATGCAGTAATTACAAGGAATTAGCTGGAGCTATATGAATAATGGGTCTCAAAAACAAATATTTCAAGGGGGAAGGTCATCTGGAGAACTCTGCACCATATAAAACTAATTAAAACTATCCCAAACAAGCTTTACATTGAATGTGGATGGACATATCTCCATGTAAAATGGATAAAACTGTACTGGATGGAAAAATATTCGTGAGTGTGCTGGTGGTGAGTGCCTGGGTGGGGCTGCATAGGGAATCTGTTTTCAGGTAGTGAAAGGGGACTCTGGCTTTACTTAAATGTTTTAGTGCTTTAAAAATAAGAAGACTGTAAACAACAAATAATAATAATAAACAGAGTGACAGTCCTCTGATATCCCGCCTTTATAGGTAGTATATATACAGAATAGGAATTTGATTTTTCTTGTTTTCCTTGGGAGATTCTTATGTAATGAGCCAAAACCTGTGTTGGGCTAAGCAGTGTTTTGGAGTGGCTGCATGCTGAGTAAGTCAAGTGAAGTATCCCCAAACTGACTGTATTGGTTTTATTGCTTGTTTAGGAGTTTTAAGAACCTTTATAGAAATAATAGATTCAGGCAACCCAGAAAATGAAGATTTTGCTGGCCTTACCTTGGTTACTTCTGTTTCTAACAACAGTTTATTTTAAAGGAACACAAATGCCATCTAATACCTCCTGCCCACCTAGAATCTGTGGGGACATACCGAGTTACAGGTGACTGAACTATAAGAATGTCTTGGGTATTAAGATCAAGTTAAGACCAGGTGTGTGTGCTGTAGACATGTGTATGTGTCCCCGATCCAGTGATCATCAGTACTGGACACTTATGATCTATCAGGCCCTGTGCTGAGGACTTGTACCTGCATTTTCGCCTTTCATCCTGCCAGCCACTCTATGAACCAGGTATTGCAGCTGTCCCATCTCACGGATGATGGGACCAAGGCTCCTGGAGATCAAGTTCACATTAAGTAAGTAGTCAATATAAAACAATGGCTCAAACTGAGCTCTAAGTCTAACATGCGCTGTCCTTGGCCACAAGATGCAGTGCCTTATAACCAGGTGCCATGGTCAAAGAAGGATGTAAATATGTGAAATCAGAAGGAAGGAGCAGTGTTTTGTGTTCACAGCACTGAGATTAGAATATAACTGCTCAATACATATTTATTCAAGGCATGAATAGATTCATGAAACTATATTTATAATTTTGTGTTCCAGTAGCAAGGAATGGGAACCTAATACTTTCACTCAAAAGAGCCTTTTTGCAATGAATTTGGGAGTTAACGTGAATAGGAGTGTGGGGACATGCAGAGAGTGTTAAAACTGTCCACAGGAAGTGATTGTAGCAAGTTTGAAGTTGCCAGACCATGAGCCCAGAGGCATGTTGACAAATTTAAACCATGCCTGCCTGGCAAACAGTCCACAGTAGAATGGACCCTCCCATTTTGGAAGTGGTGAAAATCCAAGAATACAAAACAAAAGGCCTCTGCAGATGAGGATGGGAGGGAGGGCTGCAGTCAGGTGCCAGACTGTCTCCAGCAAGGCAGGGGTGGAGTGGGGATTAGGGAGTTGGGGAAGTGGCTGCCCTTGGCCTTAACCCCAAAGTAACCAAGGTTTCTAGATGATTGTGTGGAGAACTGTGAATGTGTGTGGCATTTAACTTTTCTCCTTGGGATTTTGTAATACAAAAGATAGCATAGGCTTTCTATTGGACATAACTTACCTGCCACTGAAAAAGCACACACCACAGGAATCACCCCAAGATAGAAAACCACAGCATGTGTGCATTCCAGGGATATAGATTTCTGAGGTAACAGACCCCTAATTCTTTCAGGCATCAAAGTTTCAGCTAAGTTTTTCTAGAATGTGTCCTGCATCCTTAAATTAGAGTTACTGAATGTCTCTTAACCTTTTATTAGAAGCCTTAGGCAGATTAGGACTGTCTGTTGCCTGGGGTGGAGGTGGCAGTGGAGTAGTGCTCTGAGCTTGCCTCCGTTAGGGGTCCTGCAGTCCTGCTCTCAGCTATGCTGTCCCTGCCGCAGCTTCTCAATCCCCCACCTCAAGTCTGCAGTTTGTACCTGAGGCAGCCAAGGACCATGTTATCCCATGCAATTCTAATTTCTGTACATTAATATGCCCCAAGTTTGTAAAGATGCATCAAAGGATGTTTGCTGTAGCAGCACTGTTGGGAATAGTGGAACTTGTCCTAAAAGTGCACTTGAAAGAGAAATGGTTAAATAAGCTGTGGACCATTCCTGCTGAGGAATGTGATGTTGCTTAAAATAACGAAGCGGATCTGCTTGTGAAACAACATCTGAGATACACTGTCACCAAGGAAAAGCAAGTTACCAAATAGAAGGTCCACGATGCCCACTTAAGGATGTTCCCCATGTCTGTCTGCTCCCTCCAGACACAGCGCCAGGAAATCCTGGCACACGGTCCAGAGGTACCTGCTCACCCCACCCACTCCCTCTGCAGCCTCCAGGCCCTCGCAGGTCCTCCTGTCCCCACGCTCTTCCTTCAGGTTCCCCCTCCTGTGCAGCTGACCCTGTGGGTCTGTTCCTCACTGCGGCCTGTTTGCTTCAGCTTCTCACATTTTGTTTGTTAGTTGGTTGTGTCTCTCCTCCCCAGGGCTTTAGGTCAAGGAGCCAGAATTTTGCTGTTTCACTCTGCTCTGCATAGCAGTGGTGCTCAGTGAAGCATTGTTGACTGCATGGATGAGTGATGCCAACTTTTGCAAAATAAAGCAAGGTGTACTTATTTAAATGTATGGAAAATAGAGCATTTTGATGGAAAAGTTCCATGGGTTTTGTCAACAGTCCAGATTCAGAGTGTCAACTCCTGATGTTGCTAGGATATTGCTCTCTTTCTAGAGACTATGATGAGGAAGTGTGAGCTGGGAGGACACCCTCACAGGGTGACCGAGTTAAGCTTGTTATGTAAGTCAGGCCTTGGGTTTCAGGCCGGGAATTATGAAACATTTGGCCTTGCATTTATTCAAGGGAAACTGCTGTGAAACTTAGAACTGAAGCAGAGCTCTGGCAGAGGCTCCGTGAGAACTATGTTCTCTCTGCTCCTCCCTGTGAGTCACTTTCCCTCCATGTTTGCCAGGACGAGGTTGATTCTTGAGACGGGAGTACTTCTGCATGGCTTGACTTGGTCAAGTCCAACTTGCACTGAGGTCCACCTGGCTTTGAGCCTGAGCTTATTTTGCCACACCCGTTCCCCCCACTGGAAGCCACTTATCTCCACTTGCCAGCCCTCATGCAGGAAGAATCAAAGGTGTCCTTTCCCTCAAGATTAACGATCAACCAGCTAACCTGAAACCAAACAAACATACTTCCAAAGAATCTATCTGATGTCTACCATGTTCTCCTGACAAACGCCGAAAGCCTTTTGCTGTAGATGCACAGCTGTAGACCTGCCATGAGGGTGGGGTAGCGGTTGTGCTGAAATCCCAAATGGGAGCCTGGAAATGTGATCCCTGCAGTCTTTGCTGACCGGCTCCTGTGTCACCTGGTCACTGCGGTCATGGTCACAGACTACTCCTCGTGAGGCTCGGCGCAGACACTTGTAACCCTCACGTGCCACTTTATAAGGGGGGGTGCTACAGTGATTCCCACTTTATAGATGAGGAAATGAAGGTGCGGGGAGGGGAAGTGCCTTGCCCCATGTGACACAACCAGAAGTGAAAGAACCTGGATTCATCTGGATGCTTATCTTGACCCCTGCTCTTGACCACTGAGCTGGGCCAGCCCTCCCTGGGCCCTGCTGGCCCTGAAATCTGCCCTGGCATGGTGGCTTGGTCTTGTTTACCGTCCCAGACTCTGGCCTGGTGTGACTGGACATAACTCCCCCTGGGGTCCTAAGTCAGAGCTGGGCTATGTTGGGAAGCTGGGGCCAGGGAGAGCCCTTGATGAAGGAAGGCAGGGAGTGAAGTGCCTGAAGCTCCCAGACCCCAGACCAGCTTCCCCTGCCTGATGGGGGCGGCTTGCTGGGAAATTGCTTCTCTGGGCTCCCTGAGGCCATCACCTGGCCCTAGAGAGCTGAGTGAACTTTGGCACTTGATTAAGCAGCTTTGGGTAAGGGCCATTGCTCTGAGAGAATGCAGAGGTTTCTGTCTCCCTGACAGTGGCCTTATAAACCCAGTGAATCATCTCCTCTAGATTTGCTCATTGTTACTCCTCCCAACAGCAGCAACAGTGACTGCCATCCAGCCCTGATCTCCCAACTCCAGCTCGGGCTCTGGGGAAGGCCCTCCTCCCTGGCCCCATCTCCTAGCACTTCCTTCCTAGCTCACCAGTAACTCTGGCCGCTTTGTTTTTTCTCAAATGCACCAGACTTAACTCCTGCCCCAAGGGCTTTGCAGCCTGCTGCTCACCCTCCTACTCTTCCCAAGGCTGGTCCCTTTTCATCAGTCGGGGCTCCAGGTAAGGTCTGCTCCTCAGAGAGGCCTACCCCGACCCCCGCTGAAGTTCTCTGTTTCCCCACTTTGTACTCTCTCTGGGTCCTGCTGTTTTCCTTTGCACATAACCCCTGCAATCTGAGGTTGCCTTTGTGTATTTGATTGCTTCTTTGTTTTCTGTGCCCACCAGAACGCCAGCTCTATGAGAGCAGGGTCCTTACTGGGTTTGGTTTCCACTCTGTCCTCAGCCCTAGAACAGACCCTGGCCCATCACACATGTTCACTAAATATTTGTTGAATGGATGAAAGAATAATCTAATTCGGTTCTTAAGACAACCTTGTGCAGGGGTGTGGTAGAGGAAAAATGGTTGCAGATTCTCTGCTGCTACTCCCAAAGAGCAGTGGAAGTCCCCTCCTCTCCCTCTGAATCTGGACTGGGCCTGTGGCTCACTTTGAACAACAGAATTTGGTCGCAGAAATAAGGCCCTGTGATGTTTGAACTAGATCTTAAGAAGCCTCTCAGTTTCTGCCTGGGCCTCTTGGAAGACTCTCTGGGGAAGCCCGCTCTTGTGTGAGAGGGTCTGACTGGCCTGAGTCCACCCAGGTCCACCAAGCAGCTATGCGCTGCCGGACATGAGTGAAGAAGCCACCCTGCACACCCAGCTCTGCAGCACATGAGCACGGCCTGCCCGGCTGAGCCCAGCCAGTGGACACAACTGTGACAGAAAGAAATCATTTAAGCTACTAAGTTTTGAGGTAATGTCACACAGCAATAGATACAGACAACTGATAGGGAGGGAATCATTTTTCAGAGCAAAGAAACCAAGGCACTGAAAGGTCAAATGACTTACCCAAGGTCACTTGGCAGAGTGGGCACTCCAGCTTGGGTTGTCTCCAACGTCATTTTTAACCTCTAGGCCACATCACTCTGAAGCTAATCCGTATTTGTTCTTTCTGAATTTTTTTCTTTTAACAGCCCTGGTGGTTAGTATCTGGTTGAGAGCTGGTCCTGAGAACTTTCTTCCTTCTCATTGTAGATCTTCATAAACAATGAGTGGCACGATGCCGTCAGCAAGAAAACTTTCCCCACTGTCAATCCATCCACTGGGGAAGTCATCTGTCAGGTTGCTGAAGGTGACAAGGTGAGAACCGGTGACTTATCTTGGGGCAGGGTTGAGCAGCGTCAGGGTCAGGCCAGGCAAGGATGGTTTCATTTTTTTACTTTATATGTTTTTGTATGGTTGCAACTTTCTTTGTATTACTTTCATAACTAAAAAATGTGAATTACATTTTTTGAGTAAGTTAATCAACAGGAACTTTTCCTTGCAGACGAAGGTGCTAGACTGTATCTGGTTTCAGTCACTCAGACAGTTGTGGAATTGTAGACTGGGAATTGAATTTGAGAACATCTAATCCAGTCTCTCCTTTCCAGACCTGGAAGCTTAAGGTCAGCGAAGGGAGGTGCACAGCTGGATGGAAATCTTGTAGAATTTGGGTCTCCTGGGATCTAGCTCTGGTGTTGGTAGTATATTTTGTTTGAATTATATATACTTGTAGTAATGAAAAAATAGCAATAGTAACTTTAAAATTTAACAATTAGACTTTTAGTAAAAATATTTCATTTTCTTAAATAGAAGAGGCATTAAAAATAATTCAGGAATGCCTCCTACCCTCTGCTTTAAGACAGTCTTCTATAGTCCTACCTTTGCTGAATGCAAATGTGAATATTTTTCTGGCTTTTAGGATAGTCTCATGGTAAAATGTGTTTATTATAAATGAACACTGTGTTCCCCACCTCCTGATACATATCTCCTTGTATGAAAAATGCTGTGTTGATTTTACTGCTTTTCCAAGGAGACGGAAGCTGGCTAAACCTGCACTTGGTGGAGATCAGCAGTCATTTTAGAAGGAATGGTTGTTTGCTGGGCTTGCTTTCTTAGGAAGAGGGGGGAAATGGTCAAATCCTAAGCACCAATCCCTGGATATCTCTCTCTCTAAAACTCTTAGGGGGATTTTGAAATGAAAATACAGAAATGGAAACTGTCAGAATCCTCATTCCCTCTGTGACTCTTGGAAAGGAGAGTCAAAAGCTGGTCATGTGGAGCCCTTTGAGGTTGGGAAGGATTGTTTGGGGCACTGACTGAAGCCCCTGTGGGTACACTGGGTGTTACTTGGAGGCAGTTGTTGCTGAGAAGGCCTGAGCTACTGTGGTGGGTGTTTTCCAGGAAGATGTGGACAGGGCAGTAAAGGCTGCCCGGGCTGCCTTCCAGCTGGGCTCACCCTGGCGCCGCATGGACGCGTCTGACAGGGGCCGGCTGCTGAACCGCCTGGCTGATCTGATTGAGCGGGACCGGACCTACCTGGCAGTGAGTTCTGAGCCCCTTCCCGTCTCATCCCACACGGAGAATGGGCTCAGAGCATCCCATGGACAGCTGGGAAGGGGCCACATTGCCGACAAGTAACTGGACAGAATGGCATATGTAGGCTGGCCACCTTTGGGGTATGCTCCTTTACCAACCAAGGAGCCTCTCAGTGTGTCCTCTGATGGCTGAGAAAGGATGACGGGGAGGAGGGAAGCCATGGTGGAGAGCATTTCCAGGATAGAGACCCCCAGGGACGGACATCTCTCTCAGAGCCCCTCTTTGTGGTGGGCCTTCTCCCTGGCTGCCAGAGGCAGAAGAAACCAGGAAGCAATACCCTCCCCTCTCCCCAATCTAATCTAGAGTGAACCTTCTAGAAGGCAAGTTATACTATGGCGCTCTACTCTTAAGCCCCCCATGACATTGTGTGTCCTTAGGATGAAGTCCTGTTGGTCATGTAGTCAGTGTGGTCTACAGGCCCCACCTGCAGGACTGTGGCCCTCACCTACACAGCTCAGCTCACTGGCCTTCCCTCAACTTCCTGACTTTCAGGCTTCTATGAATGTCAGGGCCTTTGTACATGCTGTTCCCTCTGCCTGGGGTGCTCTTCCCTTTGTCATCATTAGTACCTTCTTCTTTGCCTAGTTACTTCCTACATTTCCTCCAGGTTTTAGCCTAAAGGGTAATCCTCAGTTGGAGTTTCTTAGACAGGTTGGGCTGCCTGGCCTTCACCTTTCAAGCATTCTTAGCGCTTGTGATTAATGATTCATGTCCTTATTCACTGGCTCTTTGCTGATAAGCTCCACGTTTGTTTCTGGATATGGAATAGTGCAGACATTCCATTTTTAAAAATGTGCTTGTGAAAAGACTGAACGAGAAGTTGGTGCATCATCCTCCCTCCCCCAGCCTTTGGAGAGGGAAGGGCAATGGCCCACAAATGCCTCCACATTTGGTGGCATAAAGTGGCCACCAGCCCTTCTCAGTCCATGCTGAGCCTTACCACTGTTTGTTACCCCATTTGCTGTGATTCATTTCTGCACCAGCACATCTGTGCTGATCTTGTTTCCTTTTCTCAGGCTTTGGAGACCCTGGATAATGGAAAGCCCTATGTCATCTCCTACCTGGTGGATTTGGACATGGTCCTCAAATGTTTCCGGTATGGGCTCAGGCTTCCTGTTCTCTTTTCTTATTGCACCAAATGGTTGGGAATGTTGCTGGGGAAGTAGAAATAGAATAAGGTAAAAGGATCATAGAAATTGGAGAAACATGTTCTATTATACTCCATCTTAAGGAAAAATCCCTCAATGTCAAAATTGTAATTTACTCATAAATGTTTTCTCTTTCTTCTTTAGTCAGTTTTAGTAATTGATGTGTTAGTTGGAATTTGTCCATTTCATCTAGGATGTTTAATTTGTTGGCTACAGTTGTTTAGTATTCTCTTATAATCCTTTTTATCTCTGTAAGGTCTGTTTAAGGCCCCTACTTTCATTTCTGATTGTAGTTTTTTGTGTCTTCTCCCTTTTTTCCTTCCTAAAGGTTTGTCAATTTTGTGAATGTTTCCAAAGAAACAACTTTTAGTATTGTTGCTTCTTTCTGTTGTTTCCTTTTCTCTGTTTCATCTATTTCTGCACTAATTTTATTATTTCCTTCTTGTCAGCTTTGGGTTTAATCATGAACATTTTAATGACCAAGAAATACAAGATGAAGAATAAGAGCTTTGTCAGGGCCCTTTGGGTTGCAGGTAACAGAGACTCAGCCCAACTTGGGCACTATGAAGAGTACGGGAGGGTCTTAAAATCCAGAAGGCCACTGAGTCTTACCACTGTCCACCCCTTCATTTTTTTTTCATTTTCTTCATTTACTACATTTTTCTCTTGATTACCCCCAGGCTCCTTGCAGGGCTAGTCTACATGTTGGAACGTGGCTGCCCACATACAGGCTTGCTTCTGTATGTGTGATTCCAGCCAGACCTTAGTCCTTATGCCAAATTCAGGGGCCAAATTGGCTGGTCTTGAGTCTGACCAGCTGTGAACTGGGTGGACAGATCATTGTGCAACTCATGGCTGCTCCCCTTGTGACCACGTGACCATGTGGATGAAGTGGAGGAGAAGTAATGCCAGAAAAAGTGGGGTTGGACAATATAACAGAGGTTCTCAACCAGGGCAGTCATGTCTCCCAGGAACAAAGGGCAGTGTCACAATATGGGGGGAAGGGTGTTACAGGCATCTAGTGCATAGAGGCCAAGGATATTGCTGAAAATCCTACAATGTATAAGACAGCCCCCACAGCAAAGAACTTACTAGCCCCAAATGACAGTAGCGGCAAGCTTAGAATGCTCTGCAGGGATGCTCCAGAGAGAGTAGCCTTGTGACTCTAAGGCAGAGTCCCACTCCCCTCTGAATTGTAGGAGCATGTCTTTGTGCTGATTAAATAACTATTCTGGGTCATACAAAGCACAGGTAACACAGACCTGGGAGGAAGGTAGCAGTGAAGCCCTAAATTATACAGATTGGCAACTCCCTGGCTATTTTCCTCCCCATGTTTAAACCCAGATCGTCTTTGGTCTCAGGTTAGTCTTGCCAGACATACTTGTCTCAGAAACATTTCTTTTACCCTATACGTTTCATGTTTTCCTCATCTTTCATTTTTCCTTCTTCCCTGAAAATATAACTGCTACATACTGAAAACACATGGCTATTCTTTTCTCTCCAGCACTAATTTGCTGTGCTTTTCTGTCACTTGTGTCTTGGTGTGTCTAGACAGTAAGCTTTATGAGGATTAGGGCCCAGTTGAGGATTTGTTTCTGGTGACTGTCTTTTCAATTGTAGTACAGTGTTCCACATGCAGAAAGTACTGTCAGACAGGTTTGCACTTTTTCACCAGATCCTATCCATGGTTCTTGTATGCTAATCTGTGTTCGTTGGCTGGTTCAGCAGTCACTTTAATAAATCTGAATGTTTATGAAAAATATTGATTCCTGGGCATCAGCCCCAAAGCTCCAGATTGAATAGGTCCCAAGTAGGCCCCTGGAATTTGGTGTTTTTTACAGGCAGCACCCGGGGTGATTCTGAGGCTTAGAGGTTAGTTAGCTAGAGGGGATTATCATGACCTTAGCAGTTATTTAAGGCTTCTGGGAATAAGCCAACAGCAAGGGCAATTATCAGAAAGACCCAATTGGACTAGTTTGGGCCTTCTCTTTCTGCCAAGGTTTACAGGGATCCCTGACAGTCATTAAGCTTGGATTTTTTTTTTTTTAAGTTACTATGCCGGCTGGGCTGATAAGTACCATGGGAAAACCATTCCCATCGATGGGGACTTCTTCAGCTACACCCGCCATGAACCTGTGGGGGTGTGTGGGCAGATCATTCCGGTGAGTGTTAGCCTCATAATAAATAAATGAAGGTTTATCAGGAGTGCCTTATGATGCAGCAGTCTCAAACAGGCTCACTGGAAGAGTGGGAGTATTTGTGGGTGATGTTGGAAGATGGCCTGGGTAGTGGTTAAGAATATGGGCCAACCAGTACTGCCATGCCTGAACTCTGTGACCTTGGGCAAGTCACTTATCCCCCTAAGACGTGGTTTCCTTGCCTGAAAGCAGAAGTGAACATAGTACCTGTCTTGGGCTGGTAGGAAGGACTGCAGGCCATGACTTAGCATGGTGCCTCACACATAAAAACACTAATGACCATGAGTTGCTATTATCATCATCCACTACCTGCCTTGCCCATTAGTCTTACACCTATGATTGAATTGTGGGGGGAATGCAAGGTGTTCAGAGAGCTCGGCGCTGCTTCTACTCTCTAGGGTGCTACTTCCTGCTGGCTGGTAGCTCTTTCTCAGCTGAGATTTTGGGAGCAGCTGTTCTTTATTGCAGTGGAACTTCCCACTCTTGATGCAAGCATGGAAACTGGGCCCAGCCTTGGCAACTGGAAACGTGGTTGTGATGAAGGTGGCTGAGCAGACTCCACTCACCGCTCTCTACATAGCCAACTTGATTAAGGAGGTGTGTCCATCTTGACCTCTAAATGCCCTTGTACAGGCTTGCTGTATAGGAGGCCTGAGGAGGGGCCTCAGGCCCCAAAACATAGTGGGGGCAAGTATTTGCTGAGCAGGTACTGAGTGCCACCTGCTAACCACCACCCCATACTTCAGCCAAAGTGGCCCCTCTTACCAGTTTTCTATAGTGGGCTTCATTGCAGGACCTATTTGAAGAATGAAAATTGTTCTAAGCTAAAGCCATTGCGGGGAGAGGCAGTAACCACAGGAAACCCCGCAAAGCAGGTTCCTTGCTATACCGTTTAGGATTCCTTAACAGTACCCCACAGGACTGGCTTCTGCACACCTGTGTCCTGCGCAGACTGCTTTAGCCTCTCTGGGAAGCATATTCCTATGTCCAGGACCTTTGGAGTAGAATGACTTCAGTGTCCCTGACTGTTTGTCCACAGGCTGGCTTTCCCCCTGGCGTGGTCAATATCGTTCCTGGATTTGGCCCCACTGCTGGGGCCGCCATCGCCTCCCATGAGGATGTGGACAAAGTGGCCTTTACAGGCTCCACTGAGGTAAGGCATCTCTAGGGCCTCAAGCATGTGGCATGTTTGGCTCAAGCTCCCAGTTTTCAGAGGATGATTCATTCAAGATTAGCCTCTGGGCACTGCATGGGGGTTCCACCCTTAGGACTGCCTCTGAGCAGCTCAAGTGAGGGGCCTCATGTGTGTCAGCAGGATTGTCAGGGTCAAGCCATCTGTGGGTTGGTGGACACTCCATCTGCTGTTGGGGTGGCTAGGGGCTAGCATTCCATATAGAATGAAGAAGCTAAGACTGTCTAGACTTGATAAAGCCAACAGATGACTGCCTGCCCAAGGTCAAAGCACCTCGGCATGTCAGGCTCCTTGACTGGCACTTCTCTGGTGATTAAAGCGGGTGGGCTTCAGAAAAACATGAGTTCAAATCCTGGCCTTGCCATTATGACATGGGATGATTCACTGAATGTCTATGGGGCTCCATTTGTTGTCTTTAAAATAAGGATGACAACATCTATGCAGTACAGATAGTATGTATGATGTAATGGGGAAATTAATGTGCTTTGGAATCAAACTGTTTTAACAGCACTTACTAGCTGTGCAGTCTTGGCCATGTCACTTAGCCTCCTGAAGCCTCTGTTCCTCATGTGTAAAATGGGGATAATAACTGCACCACCTCACAGGGTTGGAGGGAGATAAAGCTTATGAAATGTCCCACAAACGTCTATCCCACACTAAGTGCTCAATGAGTGAATGAATGAATGAGTGAGGCTGCTCTGTGTCAGGCGCCAGAGAGACAAAGATAAATGAGATGCTGGGGGATTCCTTTAACATAAACTCCTTGATTTGTAATCTCCAAAATTCCTTCTTAAAAGGTACCTTTCTCCTACCTTTGAATTCTTGGAAGCCTTCATTGCATGACTTAAGAGAAGGTACACTGAGTAGTGTAATTAATACAATCTTTAAACACTCCCCCTGAGATAAAGAGCCTGCAAACATTCAGCCTGTATAGTGATGGGGGTGCCAGGGGGGCAGATGGTGGCCAAGATAATGCACTCTGGGTTCTCTCTGTGCTTTGCCACTGCTTAAATGAATGCCTCAAGTGGATGTTGAGGATCTTACAGAAAGGATGGTTTCCTCACTGAACATGCATTTATTCAACAAATAAGTACAGTGATGGCTTGAGTCAGGCTCTGGGAATGTAGAGGTGAGAAGCACCCCAACCTTGTCCTCACAGAGGGTGCCATGTACTGGGGTCCACACTCAAAATACATTGGGAAGGAGGCAGGAGAGTAGGTCTGAACTGGTGTTGGATGCAGGCTTCCTGACTGAATTCTGATTGCACATTTACCACCTGTGTGACTTTGAGCAAGTGACTTGACCACTCTGAGCTGCAGCTTCCACATTTCTAAGTCAAGAAAAAGAGTAACCCCCACCTCTTTTATAATAATGGATTTAATAATGCACACAAAGTACTTAGCACAGTGTCTGGTATGTAGCTAGCGCTCAGTACGTAGAAGGCACACAGCAATGTTGGTTACTGTCATTGTCATACCAGGAGTTCAGGTAGGTGGGGCAGCAATGCCAACTGAATGTCTAGATATGGTGAAATTCTCCAGGTCTCTTGTAATCCAGCCTCTCCTTCAAGCTACGGGGTCCTCTGTTCTGTGTCTATGAGACTATTTGTTTTTTTTCCCCCAATGTGAGCTTGTCTGTTTCTGCTCCTCAACAGGTTGGCCACCTAATCCAGATTGCTTCAGGGAACAGTAACCTCAAGAGAGTAACCCTGGAGCTGGGAGGAAAGAGCCCCAATATCATCATGTCAGATGCTGACAGTAAGGTTTGGGGAGGAGGTCTGGTGCTGAAGGTAGCCCTAGCTGTCCGGACTCTGGTTCACTCACTCCTGCCGTCTTCGGTGTCTGTAGGGATTGGGATGAGGCTGGATTCCCAGCATGGCCCTCATAGCCCTTTGACCTGGTCTTTCCTGGTTCTCTCCTCTTTGCTCCCTAAAATCCAGCCAGGCCAGACTCCTCCATTGCCCACCAGGCTGCACACATTCTCTCAGGCCAGACTACTCTTCCTCCCTCATGTCCTTCCTGGTGCTGCAGAGGAGCTCCCGGTTTGCTCTCCCTGAGGGAGCCTTCCTTGACTGCCACAGGCTGGCTGTAGAGGTTCTCTTGCTGCTATTGTCTGTCTGCAGCTCGGGCTCCACCATGAGAAGGGAGAGATTGGGTCAGTCTAGGTCCAGCCCAGGGCCTGGCACCCAGCAGGCACCAACACCAGTGGTGGTGTGAATGGGTTAAGAGAGTATGACGCCTCTGGGGCCAGGGCTGTCCTGTTTCACTTCTCACGGTCACCTCCTGCCTCCCCAGTGGACTGGGCCGTGGAGCAGGCCCACTTCGCCCTGTTCTTCAACCAGGGCCAGTGCTGCTGTGCAGGCTCCCGAACCTTTGTGCAGGAGGACGTTTATGCTGAGTTTGTGGAGCGGAGTGTTGCCCGGGCCAGGTCTCGTGTGGTTGGGAACCCCTTTGACAGCCGGACGGAGCAGGGGCCCCAGGTAAGCCCAGCAGCTGCAGGTGGGTCTGGTATCTGCAGCCAGCATGAAGCAGGAGAAGGGGCCTCAGAGTCAGGTGGGCCTGGCTTCAAGGCTCGGCTCTGCCATGTACCAGCTATGCATCCCTGGGAAGCCATAGGCCCTCTCTGAGTTGTCTTTCATCTGTAACATCTGTCTTTCCTAACTTGGAATGTGGCTGTGAAGTGGAAATCAGCAATGGAAAGCACTCTGTAAATTATGTACACATAATAAATACACAATAATGTACACAAAATAAATGTGCAAAAGGGGCTGTGTGTTTCCTGGACCTTTGCTGTTCATAAAAATGCACAACTGTTTGTTAACTGTGGTTATCTCTGGGGAGTTTATACTCTTTATGGGTTTACTTTATACTCTTCTGAGCTGTTTGATTTAAAATATGTATTTTCTTTTTACCATGAGTAGTATGTATTCACTTTAATGAATAAAACTATAGTCAGTAATAATTATAATAAATAACAGTTCCTCTTCCCACAATTTCCTCTTACACCCTAGTCCTATTCCCAGTGAGTCCTGAGACCCGGCCTATGCTGGGCTCACCCTCCACAGAGCTCTGTGCTGGCCTCTTCCAGCTATCTCCCCAGAGGCAAACAGTCCACAGGGCCAGGGATGCTCCAGATCCCATAAGTCCCTGCGCCCACTTCTGGGGACCAGGGGGGCAGCTCTGCAGGCTGCATCCTCCTGAGGGTCTTGTGCTGCCGATGTCCACTTCCCAGGCTCCAGTGCTGGCCAAAAGAGCCTTTTATAAAATCAATAAACTTTATTTTTAGGACAGTTTCGATTTATAGAAAAAAGCAGAAAATACAGTTCCCATATTATACCCCCACTCCCTGTTTTGCCTATTATTAATATCTTGCATTAGTGTGGTACATTTGCTATCACTGATGAGTCAATACTGATATATTATTGATATATTATTATTAACTGAAGTCCACAGTTTATGTTAGAGTTCATTCTTGGCATACATTCTATGGATTTTGACAAATGTATAAAAATTGTATCCATTATCACAGTATCACCCAGAAGAGTTTCACTGCCCTAAGTCCTGTGCTCCACCTATTCACCCCTTCCTCCCTCCAAACCCATTTTTTTTACTGTCTCTCTAGTCTAGCCTCTTCCAGAATGTCATATGGTTGGAATTATATAGTGTGTAGCCTTTACAGATTGACTGTTCTCAGCAATGTGCATTTAAGGTTCTTCCATGTCTTTCATGGCTTGATAGCTCATTCCTTTTATGGCTGAATAATACACCATCATATGGATGTACCACATTTTCTTTATCCACTCATTGGCTGGTGGACACTTGGGATGGCTCCACTTTTGGCTACTGTGGACTGTGCTGCTGCTGTGAATCCCAACATCTGTTTTTCTCTCATTTTTCTTTGTGCTTCATGGCTAATTATTCACATAATACAAGCTTATAAAATTTTTAATAAAAAAGTGTTTAAAATAAAAAATAAGGCCCTTTGCTCCCCTCCATGTTCATTATCCACAGGTAACCCCAAAGTTATGTTTTTGTATGTTTGTTTTAACAAAAATAGGGTTACATAATACGTATTCTATAAGTTTTTCCCCTTTTTTACAGAATATCTTCATCTATCTGTCAGTTCACAGATCTGTTAAAGATGGCATAATATATATTATATACATGTACAATAATTATTTTAACCCACCCCTCTACTGATGTGTACTTAGAATTGTTTCTGTTTTGCTTTCATGCAACCTATCTTGTGAATGTCCTTTGTGACATGCAGAATAAATTCCTGGAGGTTAAATAGCTGCATCAAAGGGTATGAACATTTAATGTTTTGACTGATATTAATAAATCATTTGCCAGAAGAGCTGTGCCAGCTTATAGTCCTTTTTTAAAATTGAATTATAATTGAATGACATTGTATTAGTCTTCTAATAGTGTATAAATACTATAATGTATGTAACATACCCTTGCCATAGATGAATTTTCTTACTATTTTAAATATTTAGTAATCTCATAGTTGAAAAATAAAATCAGTGGGTTTGATACACATTTCTTTAAGGGCTTATGAGGTTCACTGAACCTTTTTCTTATGTTTATTGGCCCTTTGTAGTTCTGCCTGTGAGCTTTGCTTATTCATGACCTTGGTCCTTTTCTCAGTTGTTTGCCTGTGTGGTTCTATGCCTGAAGCTACAAGAGGCCTCATTCTAGCATCTCCCTAATATTGATGGGCTTCTTCTCCCGCAGGTCAATGAAACTCAGTTTAAGAAAATCCTTGGCTATATCAAATCTGGGAAGGAAGAGGGGGCAAAACTGCTGTGTGGCGGAGGCGCAGCTGCTGACCGTGGCTACTTCATCCAGCCCACTGTCTTCGGAGACGTGCAAGATGGCATGACCATTGCAAAGGAGGAGGTTAGCATGGGGCCAGTGTTCGGGGGATGGTTCCCGGGAGGAGAAGTGGACAATTCAGTCCTGCATCTTGACACCATGACCCATCAGCTGGCTTTGGACCGAATCCTTGCTCTGTGCCTAGGACACATTTACAATTCACATCTGATCTTGTCACACTCCTCTTATGGCTACCCACTGTCTGGGGGAGCTTCTAAATTCTTTGGCATAGCCTCTAGTCCTTTTTTGTACTGGTTCCTGCAAGCCATGAATCAAGAAATGACTTTGCCTAGCCCTTCTCGTGGTCTCCATATGAGCAGGACATTGAACTAGACCAGAGAGCTCTGTGTGATTCATCATTCATTTCACAAATACTTGTTGAATGCCTACTATTGTGCCAGGCTCTCCACAGACCCTAGAGATCCAGGGGTGACCAAGAGGTGTTCTCTGCCCTCAGAGTTCACACTCACTCCACTTCCTGAAGCTCCACTCACTCCAGGTAGATTGAGACCTTTAGTGGTTCTATGTAGGGAAAATATTACGGTGCCACTCCCTTTCATGTATAAATCAAAATAAAATAATGTTAAAATGCAAAATCAGGGTAAAAAAGGCCATTCTGAGTTCTTACTGCATCATGACTACTTTGATGCTTTTCTTGGGGAAATTTCAAATATAAATTTTTTCCAGAGAGGTAGGTGATGTCTCTGCATTTGCTAGTGCCTGAAGTCCATAATACCTGCCCCGTCTCAGACCTTGCTCCAACCACGATGAGCTGCTGGCAGTCTTTTCCCACCTCCATCCGGACTCCCTCCATCCTAATTCCTTTAGTGGAGAATGGATGTTGGGTATGCTTGTGTCTGGAACTCCCGCTCCTCACTCCACTCCAGTTTGGCCAGTTGCTGCTCCTGTGGTATCACTCTTGACCATCCCTTCTTTGAAGGCTTCCCTGACACCCTCTCCCCACTGCTCAGTCAGGCCAGGTCGCTCCTCTGGGCTCCCACCATTCCTGACACTGCTTGTAACCTAATCAAAGGATTAGAATGGAATCTGATCACTTACAGTTCCCCCAGTGCTCTTCCCTGGTAGGGGGGACAGCGGCCACACCCTGACAGCAGCAGCACACTTAGCTGCCTTGTCTTGGTTTCTACAGCTCATTTCTCCACTGAAAGGAAGCAGGAGTCCTTGAAGAAATGGTTCATTCCAAGAATAAGGCAGGGAACGTACAAGATAAATCTGAGTATCTTGAGAGCAGAAACCCTATTTGGTTCACAACTGTTTCTTCAGCATCTAGTGAGTGCCTTGCTGAATGACTGACTTCAGCTCTTTGAAACTACATATAACACGCCAGTAACCCCTACCTTGTAGGGTCATTTAGAAATATGGTATATGAAGCACATGGCACATAGCAGGTAACTGATCCCCATTAGATTCCTTCCCTTTGTGTTTGAATAAACATGGAACCTGTTATCTCCCTCTGGAACTATTAAGGTATGTCTGGGTTCTTACTACCACATCTGGAATCATCTGCTCAACACTGTGAGAACTGGACAGCATGGGGTTCCATGTCTGCTTGCACCCTCCCACTATGCTCTCTTACCCCAGATATTTGGGCCAGTGATGCAGATCCTGAAGTTCAAGACGATAGAGGAAGTCGTTGAGAGAGCCAACAATTCCAAGTATGGGCTGGCTGCAGCCATCTTCACGAAGGACTTGGACAAAGCCAATTACCTGTCCCAAGCCCTACAGGCTGGCACTGTGTGGTAAGAGCCTCCCAGTAACCCCTTAATTCCAGGCAGGGATTCCCAAGCCAGGATCTTCTGGAATCCACTGCTCATATGCCACAGTTTTGGGTGCTGGGCTCAGTTCCTCTTGGGTCAGGGTATAGTACAGCAGATAGATTAGAGATTTCCCATCTCCTCTTCTGCATGAGATGGAACTTTCCTCTAGTACGATGCCCACGCACCGATTCTTGGGCAAGCAGATGAAGGACTGGAGGCTCCTTACAAGCTGTAACATGAGGAGGAGACCAAAGTGAGTGCCTATGCCTATGTAATACTGTCTTAAAAGCTTAGCACCTACTTTACACCTATTTGGGTGGTGTAATTAAAAAAACAAAACAAAACAGAATGTTGGTGAGGATATGGAGAAATTGGAACTCTCACACATTGCTGGTGGAAATGTAAAATGTTGCAGCCTTTATGGAAAACAGTCTAGCAGGCCCTCAAAAAATCAAACATAGAATTACTACAGGATTTAGTAATTCCAGCCCTAGGTATATATATATCCAAGAGAAATCAAAACACAAATTCACACAAAAAAGTGTAACTGATTGTCAGAGCAGATGATTTGCAACAGTCAAAAGGTGGAAATAACCTAAATGTCCATTAGTAGGTGAATGGATAAACAAAATATGGTCTGTCCATGCAATGAAATATGATTCAGCCATAACAAGGACTGAAGCACCGATGCATGCTCCAACATGGATGGACCACAAAAGCATGATGCTAAGTGAGAGAAGCCAGACACAAAGGATCACATACTGTATGACTCCATTTATATGCAATGTCCAGAACAGGCAAATCTATAATAGAGACAGAAAGTAGATCAGGGGCTGAAGAGGGGCTGAATGGGAGGTAACTGCTTGTTGGGTACAGTGTTTCTTTTTGGGGTGAAAGGAATGTTTTGGTTTAGAAAGAGTCATGGTGGCATAATATTTGGTATATGCTATATATAAAGCACTACATTGTACACCTTGAAGTGGTGAGTTTTAAATTCAATTAAAATAAAATAATTAAAAAAATTGCAAAACAAAAAAAAAGCTTAGCACTTAATTAGCAAAAATGACCCATTAAAATGGGAAGTTCTTCTGTGGTCCAGTCTGTTACTAACATCTATCTGTAACCACATCCTGAAGGGCAAGGGGACCTACAGCTTTTTGCATGTGACTTGCTTTCAGTTCCTACACAGCTGGTTTTTATGGTGGCTCTACCCATCCGGTTTTTTTTTTATTAAGGTATCATTGATATACAATCTTATGAAGGTTTCACATAAGCAACATTGTGGTTACGACATTCACCCACATTATCAAGTCCTCCCTACACACCCATTGCAGTCACTGTCCATCAGCATAGTAAGGTGCTATAGAGTCACTACTTGTCTTCTCTGTGCTATACTTCCTTCCCCGTGCCCCCTCTACATTATGTGTGCTAATCTCTAAACCCCTTAATCCCCTTATCCCTCCCTCCCCACCCCTTTCCTTTTGGTAACTGCTAGTTCCTTCTTGGGGTCTATGAATCTGCTGCTGTTTTGTTCTTTCAGTTTTGCTTTGTTGTTATACTCCACAAATGAGCGAAATCATTTGGTACTTGTCTTTCTCCACCTGGCTTATTTCACTGAGCATAATACCCTCCAGCTCCATCCATGTTGTTGCAAATGGCAGGATTTGTTTTCTGCTTATGGCTGAATAATATTCCATTGTGTATATGTACCACATCTTTATATCCATTCATCTACTGGTGGACAATTAGGTTGCTTTTATGTCTTGGCTATTGTAAATAGTGCTGTGATAAACATAGGGGTGCATATTTCTTTTTGAATCTGGGATCTTGTTTTCTTCTGGTAAACTCCTAGGAGTGGAATTCCTGGGTCAAATGGTATTTCTATTTTGAGTTTTTTGAGGAACCTCCATACTGCTTTCCACAATGGTTGAACTAATTTACTTTCCCACCAACAGTGTAGGAGGGTTCCCCCTTCCTGCATCCTCACCAGCATTTGTTGTTAGTCTTGTCGATGTTGGCCATCCTAACTGGTGTGAGGTGGTATCTCATTGTGGTTTTAATTTGCATTTCTCTGATGATTAGCGATGTGGAACATCTTTTCATTTGCCTGTTGGCCATCTGAATTTCTTCTTTGGACAAGTGTCTGTTTAGATCCTGCGCACATTTTTTATTTGGGTTATTTGCTTTTTGGGTGTTGAGGCGTGTGAGTTCTTTATATATTTTGGATGTTGACCCCTTATTGGATATATCGTTTACAAATATATTCTCCCATACTGTAGGAGGCCTCTTTGTTCTAACGATGGTGTCCTTTGCTGTACAGAGGCTTTTTAGTTTGATGTAGTCCCATTTGTTCACTTTTGCTTTTACTGCATCCATTTTTCTTCTCAATGAAATTTTAGAGCAGTTTAGGAGGTCTGAGGGGTGTAACACATATCTCCAAGAATTCTTCTGAAATCTCATTTCAAATTATAGGGTCAACTGCTATGATGTGTTTGGAGCCCAGTCACCATTTGGTGGCTACAAGATGTCTGGAAATGGCCGGGAGCTGGGAGAGTATGGACTGCAGGCATACACGGAAGTGAAAACCGTGAGTATGGTGCCTTCTCAGCCCCTGCCTCATGCTGGAGTCCATTAGTATTTATTACTAGTTTCTTGTTTTAAGCTACAAAAGAGGGTAAAGACCCAGTCTCTACTTTGTTGTGAGAGAAACAACTAGAGTCTGACCACCACTATGCCTATAGTCTTTTGCTGGGTTTTGTTATATGCCAAGTTCTATAAAAACCGAAAGGAAGTAGAGATCCCTGTGGGCTGTAGTAGCGAGAAGCTGCTAATAAGCAGTAGGGCATTATCTATCAAGTACTATAAATATACCCATATCCTTTGATTTTGTAATTTCAGTGATAGGACGATAGCCTGAAGAACTTATCAGAAATATAAAGAAAGCATTATTTCTATAAATATTCATCACTGCATTGTCTGAGAGGGAAAAATCAGATGTGGTAAAATGCCTAATAAATTATATAACACCCAAATATCCTGGAGCTATTAAAACTATTTTTGCAGAATATTTGATATGGAAAAGGCTCATCCTTTAAAAAAACAGGATACAAAGCAATATATGCAGAGTAAGTTCCATTTAAAAACCATGTATGTATATATATAAAGACTCAGATAGCTTCATGTATAAAAAAGAAAAAAACAAGCAAGGATTAAAGATGGTAGCGTGAGAGGTGAGACAGAGGCTTCCTCCTAAAACCACACATAATATGAAAATATAATTAATACAACCAATCCTGAAAGAGCACCAGGAAGGAGGACTGCGCCAGATTGTATACACCTGGAGAAAAGAGCAGACCTCGTGGAACAGGGTAACGTACTGGAGCTGTGGCCCGCTGTGGCCTGGCAGGACCCAAGCCCTTCCCCCACCCCAGCTCACTGGCAGGAGGAAGAGAAACAGAGTGGGGAGGGAGTGGAGGCCTGGGACTGCTGAATACCTAACTCTGGAGATCTGCTCCGGGAGCACAATCCTACATTTCATGGTGCTTGCATGGTACTCTCGTGACTGGGGGGTTGGAAAGCTAAGACAGGCAGAATTCCTGGAGAGACTGAGATGCCAGCCACTTGTGGAAAGCAGGGATCCATATCTGGCTGCTCTGGGACAAAAGAAAGGCAGGCAGTCCTTAGCAAGAGAGCTGCTAAAGGGGCAAGGATTACACAGGGCTTAGTGCTTAGGAGAAAGGACAGGTAGACAAAATTGTCCGGGTGCACTCTGCTCAGCAGGTTGGGAGCTTTCATGATCTTCAGGTGCTACAGCTCCCTGGCTGGCTACACAGCTCCAAGGACCCCTCTGTGATGTGCAGCCTACAAAATTGAACTGGTAATCAAAAAACTACCTAAGAACAAAACCCCTGGACCAGATGACTTCATCACTGAATTTAGTGAAGACCTAATACCCATCCTCCTTAAAGTTTTCCAAAGAGTAGAAGAAGAGGGAATACTCCCAAACACATTCTATGAGGCCAGCATCACTCTAATACCAAAACCAGGCAAAGACACCACAAAAAAAGAAAATTACGGACCAGTATCCCTGATGAACACAGATGCAAAAACACTCAACAAAATATTAGCAAACTGAATTTAAAAATACATCAAAATGGTCATCCATCATGATCAAGTAGGATTTATTCCAGGAATGCAAAGATGGTACAATATTAGAAAATCCATCAACATCATCCACCACATCAACAAAAAGGACAAAAACCACATGATCATCTCCATAGATGCTGAAAAAGCATTTGACAAAATTCAACATCCATTCCTGACAAAAACTCTCAACAAAATGGGTATAGAGGGCAAGTAGTACCTCAACATAATGAAGGCCATATATGACAAACCCACAGCCAACATTATACTTAACAGCAAGAAGCTGAGAGCTTTTCCTTTAAGATCAGGAACAAGACAAGAATGCCCACTTTCCTCACTTCTATTCAACATAGTACTGGAGGTCCTAGCCATGGCAATCAGACAACACAAAGAAATAAAAGGCATCCAGATTGGTAAGGAAGAAGTTAAACTGTCCCTGTTTGCAGATGACATGATATTGTACATAAAAAACCCTAAAGAATCCACTCCAAAACTACAAGATCTAATATGTGAATTCAGCAAAGTTGCAGGATACACAATACACAGAAATCTGAGGCATTCCTATACATTAACAATGAACTAGCAGAGACAGAAATCAGGAAAACAATTCCATCAAAAATAATAAAATACTTAGGAATAAACCTAACCAAGGAAGTAAAAGACTTATATTATGAAAACTACAAGACACTCATGAATGAAGTTAAAGATACCAATAAATGGAAACACATCCCATAATCATGGATAGGAAGAATTAATATTGTCAAAATGGCCATCCTGCCTAAAGCAATCTACAGATTCAATGCAATTCCTATCAAAATACCAACAGTATTCTTCAGTGAACTAGAGAAAAAATCGTCCTGAAATTCATACGGAACCACAAAAGACCCCGAATAGCCAAAGCAATCCTGAGAAGGAAGAATAAAGCAGGGGGAATTACGCTCCCCAACTTCAAGCTCTACTATAAAGCCACAGTAATCAAGACAGTTTGGAACTGGCAAAAGAACAGACCCATAGACCAATGGAACAGGCTAGAGAGCCCTGATATAAACCCAAGCATTTATGGTCATTAATATACGATAAAGGAGCCATGAATATACAATGGGGAAATGACAGCCTCTTCAACAGCTGGTGTTGGCAAAACTGGACAGCTACATGCAAGAGAATGAAACTGGATTATTGTTTAACCCCATACGCAAAAGTGAACTTGAAATGGATCAAAGACCTGAATGTAAGTCATGAAACCATAAAACTCTTAGAAAAAAACATATGCAAATATCTTCTGAATATAACCATGAGCAACTTCTTCCTGAACGCATCTCCTCAAGCAAGGTAAACAAAGGCAAAAATGAACTCATGGGACTATATCAAACTAAAATGTTTCTGTACAACATAGGACACCATCAACATAACAAAAAGGCATCCTACAGTATGGGACAGTATATTTGTATGTGATGTATCCAACAAGGGGTTAACATCCAAAATATGTAAAGAACTTATATGCCTCAACACCCAAAAAGCAAGTAATCCAATTAACAAATGGGCAGAGGATATGAAGAGACAGTTCTCCAAAGAAGAAATTCAGATGGCCAACAGACACATGAAAAGATGCTCCACATCACTAATCATCAGGGAAATGCACAATGAGATATCACCTCACACCAGTAAGGATGCCCAGCATCGAAAAGACTAAGAACAACAAATGCTGGCGAGAATGCGGAGAAAGGGGAGCCCTCCTTCACTGCTGGTGGGAATGTAAGCTAGTTCAACCATTGTGGAAAGCAATATGGAGGAAGTTCCTCAAAAAAGTAAAAACAGAAATACCACCTGACCCAGGAATTCCATCCTAGGAATTTACTGTAAGAATGCAGGAGCCCAGTTTCAATCGCAGCACTATTTACAATAGCCAAGATATGGAAGCAACCTAAGTGTCCATCAGTAGATGAATGGATAAAGAAGATGTGGTACATATACACAATGGAATACTATTCGGCCATAAGAAAGAAAAAAATCCTACCATTTGCAACAACATGGATGGAGCTGGAGGACATTATGCTCAATGAAATAAGCCAGGCAGAGAAGGACAAATGCCAATGATTTCCCTAATTTGTGGAGTATAATAATGAAGCAAAACTGAAGGAACAAAATGGCATCAGACTCAGAGACTCCAAGAATGAACTAGTAGTTACCAAAGGGGAGGGGTGTGGGAGGGTGGTCGGGGAGGGAGGGAGAATGGTTTTAAGGGGTATTATGTTTAGTACACATGGTGTGGGGTTCACAGGGAGAACAGAGTAGCACAGAGAAGGCACATAGTTAATCTGCGGCATCTTGCTGCACTGATGGACAGTGACTGCATTGGGGTATGGGTAGGGACTTGATAATATGGGTAAATGTAGAACCACATTGTTTTTTCATGTGAAACCTTCATAAGAGTGTATATCAATCGTACCTTAAGAAAAAATTTAAAAAAGAAAAAGAAAAAAACAAGAAAGATACTATAGTGAAAATGATTTTCTCTTTACAATAAACACTAACTACAGTTTAACCAGGAAACAAGCTTACAAGTGATACTTAAAGAAAAGAGAAATGAGCTGAGCTGGGCTTTTCAAGGACTGGGAAGAGAAGGCTCAAGGCAAGCAAACCAGCGGGGCAGCATCGTGAGGAAAGGCAAATAGTGGTCTTCATGCAGTACCTCAGTGCTGAGCCTGAGAGCAGAGAGCTTAAAGATTACCTGTATTCTCCAGAAGCTGACTGGAAAAAAATAAACATGTTTGCTTGTTTATTGAGAAATTTCCAGTAGACGTAAAAGCTGAGACTCAGCTTTGAAACTGACATTGAGGTGTCATTGTTCTGTTACTCTTCATCAAAACAATAGCTATGGCAGAGGTTATGTAGCTGCGGCATGAGGGGAGAGGAGGCTAGGACTGATCCTGAGGAACTGCGTATCTAAGGGTTGACTGGAGCCCAGTGGGAGAGCCTGAAAGAGGGGGCTTTGAGTTGAGATGAATCCAAGCTGCTGACACCAGAGGCCTGGAAAATTAAGATGTTGGGAAGCATGGGAGAAATCTTTTGAAGAAAGAATTGGCAGGACTTGATTGCTGGGAGAGTTACAGGATACGGGTGGCGGAGGCAATGCTGACTCAGCCCAGCACCCACACTGTGCCAGGCACTGTGCTTACTGCTCACGATAAGGATTCCTGTATTTTGAGCCTGTGGGAACTCAAGTGATACTAACAAAAATAGGGACTTTCCAGAAGAGCAGTCAAGTTTGCAAGAGGAACTGATGAAAAAATTTCTTTCAAATTCATTTTTACTGAGTGCTTGCTTTGTGCCAGAGTCTGTGCTACACCTTATTATGTGTTATCTCATTTGCTGCCCACAACCCATGAAGGAGATAGTTATTATTCCAGTTTACAGATGAGGAAACAAGGCACAGAGAGGTGAAGTACTGGACGAGCAGGGGATAAAGCTGGGTTCAACCCCAGAGCCATCTGCACCTGGAATCTTCCCACTTGTCATGCTGAGACACCTGTGAGCTCCATTCAGCACACTGTCGTCTTCCTTGCTTTGTTCCTTCTGGAGGACAACATGGATCTAGGTCATCAGGATCTCTCAATCTTGGCGCTCTTTGACGTCTGGGGTGGGATAATTCCGTGGATTCCACTTTGGGGAGCTGTCCTGTGCGGTGCTGGGTGTGGAGCAGCATTCCTGACTCCAAACCACTAGATGCCATAGCAGCTCCATCTCCCTCTGCCCTAGACATACAAAATGACTGGGTCAAGGGGAGACAGTTCAGTCTCACAGAGCACAGCCCCGGTAGTTTCTGGGATTGGCCAGTTGGCCAAGGTGCTAAAAGGAAGGAAAGCCCTCTTGCTCATACTCATGCAGCACCCAGCTAGGAGCACCCACAGATCACAGGGAAGGGTGAAGATTTAATACCTCCCTGTACCCCTCTTACAGGTCACAATCAAGGTTCCTCAGAAGAACTCATAAAGAACCATGCCTGCTTCCTTACTCATCCGGTGATGGAAAGTCCAGTGAGGTGAGTGCCAAAACCAAGAAGAACGACCCTTGCACACTGAAAGTCTCAAGAGAGAGATTCTCCTACAAAATCCCTTGGATCAAGAAAGTCATAGAATTTGAACCAATAAACAGGATAACAGGATAGGTGTGTGGCAAAGAGTATATGGAAAGCCTTATAAACTGCAAGAATATTTTTAACTTCCAGGGCAATTTCTCAAAATCAGATAAATGTCTCATCCTGTTCATCTGGTAGGCTTTTGTAATTTGTCATTGTGTGGGAAGAGAAAGCCACTGTTTACAACCGTACTAACATGGAGGCAACAGCTAGCGCCTTGTTTCATATTCTGGAGTAAACCTCATTAAAAACAGGACTGCTCTTCACTTTTTTGGGTAACTCTTCCTCCAACTCAGTAACCCTGGGAAATGCTGCCACAGAGGTATGTCATCCCCTCTGTGGTATGTCACATTGTATACAACTACCAGGCCTCCCCAGCTGTGGGTGAATAGCTTTTGTTTCACGTGTAATATACATGTATCTCTGGCCTGTCCACCTGTGGCAGGCCCTGCACTGGGCACTAAGCATGACACCTAAACAATACTCAGAGCCCCCGGAGAGGGGGTGGTAAAGCAGGGAAGAGACACCTGATGTCCAAGGTTGATTCTTAGTGTTTTAAGTTAAGCAACTTGATCAAAAAAAATGAGACACACATGAATTTCATGAGACTGATTTGGAGACCAGATGTCAGTTTACTCATTTTAAGTCTTTATTTCCAGTAACCAGACATCCTGAATCTCCTGTTCAGATCACTGCCTTCCTTTAGCCAAGGGACCTGGCAATTGGCAATTAGTAGTATTAGTAAATTACGAATCAGAAGATTCCTTGGTGAGCAATGAACTGGTGCACAGACTTGAACTGCAGTAGTAGTCGGTGAAGTTGGTGATTGTGTTTGGGTCACAGATTACTTTAAGAATTTGAGGAAAAGTTTGATCTAAGAAAAATACCCCTTTTGTGTAGATTTGCAGACAGTGAAACAAGAGTGATGGGACTCATTGGTTGACTGTTGGCCTCATTCCACTCAGGCTAGGCCACACCTTGGTAAATGATCCTTTCTCCACTAAAGACTAATTTTATTTACTTGAATAGAGCTTCACAATTTTTGTCATATATGCATATACCTGCACTGTTTACTTTTTTCTTTAAACTGACTTTAGATAAAAAATAAAACACCGTATTGCCATACATTAAAAACTAGATTTAACTGTCATAAATACAAGGCATCATTGAAAAAGGGCAGAAGAAAAAAGCAAAACAAGGTTACTCAACTTAAAATGAAATCTAATCATTTTAGATTATGTATCATACATACACAAATAAATCGAATCATTCTAGAACAGTTCATACCTGAAATAGGTGTGCCTCAATGGGGAGATTTGGATTTTATGACTGGTCAGCAGTAGTGGGATATTCCACTTCATGTTGCTTCAAGATGAACCGAGGTTCACTGCCAATAAAATGATTCTGTGTTTTAGCTTTGATGATAACCAGAAATAATAATGCCACGACACATGAACCTAGTGGCAAAGGACAAAGGTTTGAACCTTCCTGCTGCTCTGAGGCCTCCTGGGCTTAGCTGCACGCTGGGATACGTGACGGCTGCAGGGACAGGCTAGTCAGCTGTCCCTGCCTTGAGGGCACTTGCAGTCTACCTTGGGAGAGAGGCATTAAGTGGAGACATAATAGGAAGAGGGTGAAAAGGGGGACACCTGGCCTGAACGGGACCTCATGGCAGAAAGGTCATGCCCCTTTATGCTTCATGTTGGTCCATCATGAACACTACTGAGTGCTGTACAGACAGGGCACACTACCTCTAGAAACTCAGGATCTGGTGAGGGGAAACAGACTCTCACGAGAGGCTTGTAATACAATATAGATGCCAGGAGCAAGGAGAGCCACAAGGTAATGATATCAGAGAAGGACAAGAAGGGTCCCTGCTGACTGCAGGCAGGAAGAAAGCTCCCTAGAGGGTACTCATATTTTATTTTTACCAATTTTTCAGGCTTCCTGCCAGAGGTTTAATTCCTAAAGGTTTGGGCCTGGATGTTATTTCCTATAATTTATGCCCTTTATGCAAATGGGAGTACCACTATTATCTGCTTCACATTTGCCATAAGCAATAATAAATGTATGTTCAAGTCTAATTTTCAAGAGGTTAAAATTATGACTCCTGAACAAATAGAAAATGAACACAGATCTAAGATTTCACTCATTAATTAATGAGGGAACCATTAAGATGAAGCAGGTTCAAAAACCATTTTGAGGAACTGGTGTTGTGGGCATTGTAATGAAGGAATGCGAAGAGTAAGACTGCTATGTGAGACGCGAAACTGGTTAATGTCCCGCAAAGGAAAAACCAGTAAGAACTAACCATGAGCGTTTAGTTTTTAGCACACAGAAATAATTTGCAGCTCTGGGGGATATAAATCTGTAACAGGTCACTTTACTGGGTGTGAGCTCTTAAATAATGAACAGCAAGTTCGAACAATGCTACAGACTCCTAAAGCGGAGTCGTAAAGCTCTTTCTGTAAAAGGCCAAGCTAATAAATATGGGCTTCGTAGGCTACATAACATCTGTCATATATTCTTTTTTTTTATTTTAATCTTTGTCTTTTACAACTCTTAAGAAATGGGGAAAGAATACATTCTTAGCTCAGGGCTGTATAAAAATAAACCACAGGCTGGATTTGGTTCCCTGGCCATAGGTTGCTGACCCTTGTCCTAGAGAATGAGAAAAATCACTGGGTGGGTCTGTTACACAGTCTTTCGGCACAACATTGAAAGGATAGACATTTATCTTCATAGCCATATTTGTAAGTTTTGGATGATTTACAAATATGTATTAAGACAAAGTTTGCCCTTGTATTAACTGAAATAATCCAGTAACACCACTGGTTGACAAAGCTTACTTTGGAAAACAGGATTACTTGTACTTAACCAGCTCAAAGAGTCTCTGTTCAGCAGTTCAGATTGAACCAGTTCATGACTCTTGGTTCACTACTTTAATACCTATGAGATTTGGGAACTGCACAAGTCAACTTGGTAGAGATAAATAAGGAGACTTAAGATTACCATCCCCTTGCAGAAAGGCTTTTGTTTAGATCAACTGGGGAATTTGTTTAGTTTTCTAAAATTTTACTTTTTTCTATTCAATCACTGATTCCTTGTCTCAGTAAGCCTTTAGTAGCACTTATCCTAGGCCAGGTACTGTGCTTGGCAACTGCTGGCCCCCAGTGCTTAATAAAATCCAGCTGTAGGCTGGAAGTGACTGCCATAAAGTGAGGTGTTACAGTAAAATGACTAGATATCCCCAGATTGTAGGATTATACTTTTTAAGGCCCACATCACCTTCCATGCACTAAACACACTTTTAATGTTTGGTTCCGGTTCCTTCTGGTTAGAAGGAAAAATGAATTAGAACTATGGAAGCAAGGCTAGTGTTAACTTTCATTAGCTTGGTTTGGTGTCTCACTGGGTTATAAGGTTCTGACTCTTTAACTCCTTGATTTTGTTTCCAGTCCACATGTGTATCAGGCAAAAACAGCATTTAAAATAAGCATAAATGTTAATTTCTCTCACAGGTAAGAGAAGTCCAGAAGTGGGCAATAAAGGGCTGATAAAAGTGATTCCACAAAGTTTTTAAGAGATCTATGCTCTATTATTTCAGTGTTCCACCATCTGTAAGGTATGGCCCTCTCCTTGTGGTTTAATATGGCTGCTAAAATGCCAGCCATCACATCAGCATTCCAGGCAGCAGAATGATGAAAAAGATAAAGGTGGGACCCTCTATAAAGACACTTTGCAAGATTGTATGTAACAATTCCACTTATATCTCTTTGAACAAATTTAGAGACATGGCCCCATCTAGCTATAAAAAAGGATCAGGAATATGGTCTTTTAGCGGGGCATCAGTGTGCCTCGATAAAACTGAATTTCTTAATTACAAAGAAGGAAAGGAAAATGGAATTGAGGAGGCAAGTATCCATCCCTACCATGATGTGAAATACCACTCTGTGATGACAGTCATCAAGACAATGCCTTCTCAGTATATTCTCTAAACTAAAGAAAATTCCTCTTTAAGATTTAGGGCGGTGCCTTCCCTATGCCTAAATTGGAGCTCTTGCCTGAAGGAAGGGGCATGGAGACTGGAGAGTACTCAGCACTGAGTTACTGCCAAGGTTTTAATACTGCAAACAATGTTGCCAAGAACCCCATTGGAGACAAATTGGAAAAAATAGAGATATACAAGTTTCTTATCCCACAACAGACTTGCTGTAACTGTAAGAGAATCCAGTCTTTAGTGAAAATAAAGGAGATCCTAGCTATGAAGAAATGTCTATAATGTTGATTTTGACATCCTAGACACTTATTAATCTCCTTGTACTTTTAGTACCAGGGACCAATTAGAACCTTAAGTAGCTGTTTGAGGCAAAAAACAAAGTTCTCAGGTTATGAAGAACCTAATCTCTCTGGGTACTTGGATGTGGGTCAGTCACAGGAGTATTGGATGTAAAGCTGCTGTTTCTGGCTTTAGCCTTGCTGAATGCCCAATAGGAAATGCACGGCCTCTGGCTGAATAAAGGACACAACTTTCCCTGTGGCCTGGAGAACCCTGCTGTGAGGTGTTTTCTTAAGTGCACACGCCATCTTGTGGGCAATAAATAACAACTACACTGCTATTCTTTCCAAGAACTGATAGGATAACCTACCCCACTGGTGTCTTTCAACGACAACACAACTAACTGTACACAGGCAACATCTGTCAGGCAATGCAATGAGGGAATCGAGAGGCCAGGGTCCCATACCCAAAATAATTGAAAACAGGGACCTCAACAAAAACTTGTACACCAATGTTCATAGCAGTAATAGCCCAAAAATGGAAACAATCCAAATGTCTATCAAAAGATGAATGGATAAACAAAACATGGTCTATCCACATGATGGGATATGATTCAACCATAAAAAGGAATGAAGCACTGATACATGCCACAGCATAAACCTCAAAAACAGTATGCTATGTGAAAGAAGCTAGTCACAAAAGATCAAAATGTCATCTCCCTGTACATTTGAAGTAACCTCTGTGTCTTCTCAGTTGAAAAGTGGGAATCACAGCTGCCAAATAAGATATTACATAATTCTTGGAAATTCTGCTTTTTCAGAACCTCACTGTGCATTTTGGTTTCAAAAGGCTACTAAGTGAAGTTGTTATTAATGGATATAGTGTTTGTTTTGTAAGACGAAAAAAGAAATTGGTTGTACAACATGAATGTACTCAAAACTACTGAGCTGTACACTTAGAAGTGGTTAAGATGATGAATTTTATGTTACACATTTATTTATTTATTTATTTAGGTATCATAATCTACAGTTACATGAGGAACATTATGTTTACTAGACTCCCCCTTCACCAAGTCCCCCCAACACACCCCATTAGTCACTGTCCATCAGCGTAGTAAGATGCTGTAAAATCACTACTTGTCTTCTCTGTGTTGCACAGCCCTCCCTGTGCCCCCACCCACATTATACCTGCTAATTGTAAGGCCCCCTTTCTTCTTCTACCCCTTATCCCTCCCTTCCCACCCATCCTCCCCAGTCCCTTTCCCTTTGGTAACTGTTAGTCCTTTCTTGGGTTCTGTGATTCTGCTGCTGTTTTGTTCCTTCAGTTTTTCCTTTGTTCTTATATTCCACATATGAGTGAAATCATTTGGTACTTGTCTTTCTCCGCCTGGCTTATTTCGCTGAGCATAATACCCTCTACCTCCATCCATGTTGTTGCAAATGGTAGGATTTGTTTTCTTCTTATGGCTGAATAATATTCCATTGTGTATATGTACCACATCTTCTTTATCCATTCATCTACTGATGGACACTTAGGTTGCTTCCAATTCTTGGCTATTGTAAATAGTGCTGTGATAAACATAGGGGTGCATCTGTCTTTTTCAAACTGGGCTGCTGCATTCTTAGGGTAAATTCCTAGAAGTGGAATTCCTGGGTCAAATGGTATTTCTATTTTGAGCATT